TTGTCCTTGTCACAGTTCAGAGCTTTCTCATAAAAAAAAGCAGCTCTCCTCCTGTCGCCCTCAGCTCTGGCCACCTGACCCAGCAGAGCGAGAGCTTCACCATCACCCCGATTCTTTGCCAGACGCCTGTCAGCGATCTGCTTCAGTTTCTGCAGGAAAAAAATAGAGGAACAATGAAATATTAATTTATGTTCCAAAGAAGTAGATTCTGTTCATCTGGGTGTAACGTTTTTAGTGGGAGAAAACATTACATTATGCTTTAATTAAAAAAAGCGACATTTTGAAATTTGAACTATGGAGGCTAAAGGATCTACCTCCCATCCTACATTTAAATAGTATAGGCACCACAGGTAAGCCCACAATCTGAGGTTGAATTGCTCTAATGGGGTGATACAGTATGGTACTATAAGGTCTTTAAGATAAGATGGGGCCTGATTACCAGCTTAAAATGTTTCTAAGAGTTTTCGGGGGACAACAGAAGGAGAAAAGCTATAGAGGTGTGTATGACTGCAACTCTGGATAGTGACTTGGGGGGTTTTCATAAATTTGGCCAGACTTTTTGAAATGAAAGGAGTTCCATCCAATGTGGGATGGATGCCACATCTCCTCACAAGGCCTAGTGAAAGACAGAACCACTGACAGTCACCAGTAGTTTTCAAAACGTAAGTTGAAAACAGTCCTCAGGAGCACAAGTAGGTGGTACTGAACAAATCATTTACATCAAGGGAGCTTTGATATGAGGTTTTGCTCACATCGTATGAGTTAGTATTAACACTGAGTTTATATAACACGTAACCTTTGTTATGTCTCTAGTGCTCACCTTAGCACACTGTCTCCAATTATATTTTTTCTGTGGTATCAGCAGCCCCTGCAGAGAGAAAACAGCAGAAGACTATGGTGAAGATAAATCCATCCATACTAAGGTCATGTGGTGGATGTGAGCGGTAACATGTTTCACATTACTGCCCCGACACCTCCACCCTCCAAACAAGGCCTGTTAGTTTTTCTTCTTTCATTGTTCTTCTTGGGTTGAAACGTGGGACATTAAGAGGCAGCTGCATGTCTAACACTGTACATGCAGCTGCCTCACCTTGGTGTAATTTGCCCTCTGATGGATCAGCTACCTGTCACCTTCATTTTTTCTTCAGATAGGACCAATCAGAGTCTGGCACCTAGAAACTTACCTTGGTATAGTGAGCGATGGCTTGAGCCTCATTTTTTTTGTGATAATGAAGAAAGTCACCGCAGCGCTGATGGATAGTCTGACAATCCTTTTCCTCCTCCACCTCTGGTAACGTCTCCAAGCACTTCTGGAAAGCCTCCTCAGCCCTGAGAAACAAAGAGATGATGAGGAATCTACAGCCAGAGGAAAGAAAGAAGGAAACCCTGCAGCTTTGTTTAGACGGGTACCTGCTCATATCCCCTGCCTCTGCACACAGCAGTGCCAGTTCAGCCCACGCCAGGACAAAAGGTCTCTTCCTCTTCACAGATTCTTCAAGGTGACTGATACAAATACGCCTCCACTGACGCACCTCTTCTGTGGAGCATTAAAGGGTGATTTGAGTGGTGTTTATTTAAGGACAACATGCAGTATATTTCTGTGTACCTCTGTTGCTGAAGCGCCTGCGACGCTCAGCAATTATTTTCTGCTTGTAGCACAGAGCCAGCTGGTAGTTGAAGGAAGATAATTGATCGCCCCTTTTCAGTCCTCGCTCAAACACAACAATAGCCTCATCCAGTCGATTCTGGAATAGATTTAAAAACACTAATCAGATACAAATATTCAGATCAATTTGAGGATAGAAGAAGAAAAATAACAGAAGAATGGTTCAAACTCTCTTAACAGCTATAAATGCAAACACTGAAAAGGTAATGAATTTGTAAGGAAATTCTCTCTTGTTCACACCAACAACTTATATAAATGCATGAAAGTCTATAAAAAAGAAAAAAAAGGAGGGAAAGGGGAAAAAAGACGAATGGAATCACTCAGACAAACCCAGACTCCTAGATCAGGAGACAGACACTATCTCTACTATTAAGATTAGGCTTAAAACTTTCCTTTTTGCTAAAGCATATAGTTAGGGCTGGATCAGGATTTCGGCTCTGCTTTTGTAAGTGTAAGTTCTATAAGCTTCGTCAGGTTTTGGCCTCCAACTTGCACTGGAGCAGTCTGCAGGCAAGTGTGAAGTGGCAGGAATTAGAATCTGCACCTCTAAATGAGAGGCCGTGGTCCTCAGCCAGAAAAGGGTGGAGTTCCCACTCTGATTCAGGGACAAATTACTGCCCCAAGTGGAGGAATTGAAGTGTCTCAGGGTCTTGTTCACGAGTGAGGGGAGATTGGCAGATGGATTGGTCCTGCAGCTGCTGTGATGCAGATGCTGTACCGGTCAGATGTGGTGAAGAGAGAGCATAAAAGCGAAGCTCTTTATTTACCAGTTGATCTACGTCTCTACCCTCACCTATGGTCGCAAACTTTGACTAGTGACCAAATCTGATTGCAGATACAAGGGGTTTGTCCAAAGGGTGGCTGGCCTCTCACTTTAAGATAGGGTGAGGAGCTTGGCCGTCCAAAAGGGGCTCAGAGTAGAGCCGCTGCTCCTCCACATTGAAATAAGTGGAAGAAGATGAATGGATGGATGGATATTCATAAATTTGAAATGTAATCAGTGTGTCTGTACTTACTATGGGAAATTTATGAAACTTCCTGTAAAACATTAATACAAATTTGCAGCAGTGGACGCCACAGTTGACTGTCTACCTCAGGTTTAATGGCTGGTTGTTCTCGTCCCTGAATCAGTACAGTATCAGGATTAAGGAGAACAAAAACACCCAAGCTGTTCAGGATTACAAAATAGGAAAGGAAATGAAGGCTAAAGCCTAAAGCCAGCCAGCATCCCCAGAGATCACAGAGTTGTTCTAAAAATTCCCAGGAGCCAAAAATGAAAGTCATATGAAAGTCAAGGACAGGTTTTATAACCTTTAAATAAAGTGTCTTTATTGACCTTGCTGTTGTTGATGATGCTCTATTAAGGCTTGTATGGTTGAGGAGGCCTTAAAGTGGATGGTGAATGTGCTTTCATTTATAGACAGAAGCTAATGGCATGAATGGTGGGCCCAGGAAGATTCCCAGACTAGAATCTTGGACTTCGATCATCTGGTACCTTTACCCTCGGGTCAAGCAGAGTTGGAGTCTGTTGGCGTTCTCTTCTCCCCACTGTCACCAAGTTGTTAACATTGAATTAATTTCTAAGTATAACACTGCAGGTGCCTTGACATACTGTAAATAATGTTAGAATAGTTTCTATGAAGAAAACATTTAAAAAGAAACTGAGGATGAGTCTCTACAGACGGATTTCCTAACTTTTGTTTGGTCTGCTGTTACTAAGCCAAAGACCCAGTGAGCAGAAGTAAGAATTTATAGGACCAAAGTTGCAGACTTACCCGCTCACGTAAGTATTTTCCTGAGTGGCGGATGATATGAGGGTTATCAGGATCATTTTCTAGTGCTTTCTTCACCAGACTCTCAGCCTCTTCGTATTTCTTATAGGCTGCCAGCTTTGCGCCCAGCGAGCACTGCAGAGCAGCGTTATTTGGGTTGATCTTCAATGCAAAGCGAAGCTGTTTGATGGCCTGGGATTCCTCATCTTCCTGTAAGTTTTCTAAAACCCACTGCAGATGAGAAACTGGTTAGTCCACAGTTTCTTTTGCTTGAATAAACATTAGTCATTGAAACTTCTAAAAAATATACGGACACTGAAGTAACTGAGGCCACTGAAGGAGCCCTAAAGTTTACTCTCATCATTTGGTACTGTCTCGATTTTAGGAAGTCCTCTTATAGCTCATCACCTACTGTCATTAAAGCTGCTGATTGACTTGACCATAAACCGTGTTTTGAATCTCATGCTGATGCCACTACTAAAAAAGTTCAACAAAGACTTTTCTTTTTAAGGAAAATTAGATCTTTTAATGTCTCCTCTCAGATGTTGTCTTTGTTTTATAGATGTTTTATCGAATCTGTGATGTCTTTTTGTATCGCTGCCTGGTTTGGTAACCTGACGGTGAAGAATAAGAATCGGTTGGGACTTCTGGTAAAAACTGCTCGCAAAATTTCAGGGCATTGGCACGATGGACTTTTGGCCATTTACAATAGAAATGTGCTGAGTAAGGCTCATTCGATTATTAATTGTTTGAACCATCCACTTCACAGTGAGTTTGAGTTGTTGCCTTCCGGGCGCTGTTTTAGAGTACCTCAGAGGAAGACCAAAAGACTCCAGGTCTCTTTTATCCCCACTGCATCTTGTCTCCTTAATGGCAAATAACTGTCCTTGGACTTTCTGTCACTATTGTCATTATTATTTCATATTATTGTTCTGTTTACTTTTATCCTGCTGCTAAACTAACTTCCCCCTGTGGGACAATAAAGAATTTGAATTGAATTGAATTGAGGAGGAATATACCCATATAAGGTAATAAACTCTTCATCCTTAGTGTTAAGATGTTGATACTATACCAGTATCCTTTAAAAGCACAATAAACTTTTTTGCCTTCCAGTAAAAGCAAAATTAAACAATGACTTACTTTTATTTGTAAAGAAAGCAATACTGTTAAATACACCACATTTCTTCTGTGCTCAGCTGCAGTATCCAGATAAACTACATAATTATGCTACATCATTTTTAGCAATTTAGTGATTCCTGGAGCAAAAAGTAACTTTTTGAAAAACTCTGTTACATTCAGAGCATCTTTTAAGTGGAATAAACTGCCTTATGCAATTAGAGAACTAGTGACTATTCATAATTAAAAAACCCAAAACATTTAAAAGCCTATTTATATAGTTTTAATAAATATTGTAAATATTGTAAGTGGGTAATGTTGTGACCTGTTTTCCACATGTATTGTGCCTCAATGCTTATATTTTTACGATTATTGTGGATGTAAGAGCCAAATTATGTGGATGTTTTGCATCTGTATTACAATCATCTTTATTGTATAATGTTTTATTATATTATACTTGATGGCTTGGGCCCCAGGAAGATTAGCAACCACTATTGTTCAAGCTGATGGGGTTCCTTATGAATAAATAAAAAATTCTTATCATAAAACTGACCTGTTCTCCACAAAAGAGGACAACGGCGTAGCAGGTGTTCCACTCAACATCATGAGGCTGTACCTCAAGTGCTTTATGCAAACAGTCGATGGCTTTTGATATAGAAGATCTCGACACCTTGAAATAGGCCCAGCCTTGTTCCCCATACACCTCTGGGAGGAGACTTCCTGATGAACCAGTGGGATACTTCACCTGCAGAGGGAGAAGGAAGCGTCAGAGGTTCAACAGCAGTGATCATCATGTTTGATCTGATTGGTTTACATACCAGTATGTCCTCGACTCTCTGACAGTAGCTTTGTGACTGTGCAAAGTCTCCGTCGTGATATTTCAGCCAGGCCATGTCTCCATACGTCACAATCAGCCGCTTCTCACTCTCATCACCGTATCTCTCCCTGATGGTCTTCTCTGATTGGTTTAAAAGTTTCAGCGCTTCCTCTCGTTTATCCTGAAGATGCCTGAGGACCAACAGGTCATCAACAGCTGTTCCACATCTGGTGTTTACGACACCTGACAAGAAACTGACTTGAGGGTTCAACTAACACTTGTTGATGATTCATTAAGGTTTTTATCTGAGGTTCTTGACTCCAGGGTTAGATAATTACTGCATTTCCACCAGAAAAAACAAGAGTCCAAACAAGCTTCAGGAAACAGATTTATATCAAGATTCTTAAAGAATCAGAAACTTCAGTCCAATACTCCAATAATGTTTCTCTTCATATTACATGTTTGTATTAAGGTTGAAATAATGAAGTAAACTTAAAGCAAGCTGACGTTTTTCTTCTAGCTGTAGCTTTGCTATGCTGCATAAATCTGGTGATTGTTTATTTATATTGTTAACTTATGAAGTGAGTTGAACGTGAGCCAGCCATATCTAGTCCAGACAAAATGTTGTTACATGAAATAAAATAAAATTCATCTGTGTTAGCAGCAGGAGCACTGCTGGTAGGTAACATTAGCAGAAGAAACACAGCTCAGGGTTGGATCTGATCCTGAAAACAAAACAATCTCTCTATCATTCAAATATAGATCCTGCTGATGCTGACCACTGTTTCCTTTGACAGTCAAATTTCTCTTTGGTCAGACGGACTTCAGTGAGAAAAACTGTCTTTCTTCTGGCTAATGTTAGCTCTTCTCTTCTGTAGCAGAGTCACAGAAATAAAAGTGTTGAGATTTGAATGAGCAGAATAAATCCACTTTAGCTTTTCCTTCATCAGACAGCTACAGAAACTGTACCTGAAATAAGCCAAGAGGCTGTAGAAGCAACCTGCTCCTTTATACGGACTCTGATGAAACTCTATGTCGATCTCTGTTCGGGTGATCAGTTTTTTCGGGGATACGTCCAGGTCCAGATCCCAGGTGAAGTGACACTGCAACTGCTGCAGCCTGCTGAGCAGAGCGCTGCTATCTTCACTGTAAGAGAGTCACAAAGAAAATGCTGTGAGGAGCATCAGAGGGAGAGCATCAAACCAGGACTGGCTGAACCGAGGCTCACTCAGTGCTCTGACACACTACAACCAGCACATGATCAAACATCCTCAATCAGAAACTCTCATGCCAGTTCACCCACACTTCCCAGCTCCTCTCCTTGATAAAAATTCAGTTTGTGTGATCAACCAATGAAAGCAGTGATGTGAAGTAGACCTGTGGTTTGAATCTCACACTGAGGAACCAGAAGAAACCTTAGATGTGGAGTGAGACACAAACACAGGGGGACAGCTAATGTTGTGATACAACGTTTAATTCATTTGATCACATGCCAGTGTTAAAATGTCTAGTTATTGATGTAAGATGTGTCATGTTTCAGCTGTGTTCAGGCAGGAGAGGACCCAAACACAAACTCACGGGGACACGGGAAATAAACTCAAAAGCACCGCTTTATTTCAGACTCGAGGAAAGGATACAAAACTAAACTTCACAGTGAGGCACACACGTAACACACAGCATGAGGACGACGCGACACTGAGTCAGAGAAACACAGGGCTTAAATACACTGTGAAGTAACGAGGGGAATGAGACAGAAGGAGGGCACAGCTGGGAGAAATCAGAACTGACGAGACAAGGAAGCAAAGCAGGATGCACGCACATGAGACAGACCTTCAAAGTAAAACAGGAAGTACAACACTGAGACGTGAACTTGACACCGTGGAGACAGAGCAACTAAGAAACACAGAGATATAAACCATGAGGCAGAGCACTCTAAGGACCAAAATACACAGACGGAAATACTAGGCATGGAACACAAAAAAACTAGATTTAAGGGAGTAACTAAAGACCAACAATGAGGACATAACTTACAACACAAAGTGACAAAAAACACAGGAAACTCAAAACACTTCATCAAAAAACCCAGGACCCTGACAAGATGCATCAGTTGCGCGTGTTTTTTTAGTTACCAGTGTTCATGATGTGGAATTAATATTGTTGAAGAGTTAAGCACTGAAGTAGGCAAGCAGGGACACGGACTCGAACATGCATGCAAGGTAGTTGTGAGCAATCAGGGCTAAATTGTGTGGATTTTGATACCCAAGTATGGGAGGTTATTAATTTTATTTTATTTCTTATTTGACTGATAGAATATTTGATTACTAAAACAATCGATACCTGCAGCACAGATTATTATTATTATATAACAGGTTTATAATTTTATAACCTCCACTTTTTCCTCTGATTCACAGACTCCTGGACTGTGTTACTTTGTATCCCTCTGCGTGCACCTGAGCGCCAGGTAAACTAAACTACTGCTGGATTTAAAGTCCATCAGGTGGTTCACTTTGTGATAAATGACCGATTATTTATCAAAGGTTTGGCAGACTGACCTCATGTTGGAGCAAACAGAGACCTCCTCCTCCTCAGACTCAGCAAAGTGATGACTGAACACAAAGAGTGCGTGGACCGATCTGTGAAGCTCTCACCTCAGTTACACAAACCACACACCCCTGCTCCTGCTGCCTTCAGGGCCCCGCTGAAAACAAGTAAAAGTGAGAATCCATCTGCTCGTGTCTCTCCTCTCCTCTCCTCTCCTCTCCTCTCCTCTCCTCTCGTGAATTTAATGGCGATAAATATAAAGGATGTTAGGAGACGGGAGTCACACATTTGAGACAGGAGGAAAGCGTACCGACGAGAAGGCTGGGCTTTCTGTTTTACATGACCTCAGGAGGGGTCTTTGAAGGCACCACGAGGAAACGTTAGGTTTCGTTTCTGCATCTCAGCTGAGAGCGTCACCAAAGATCACTGATCAGCCATTGGTCTGTAAATAAGCGATTTATCTGTATCTTTTCTGAGGAAGAGAGGGGCTGTTTCTTGTAGCATGACGTGAGTCCACATTAGCTTCACAGCAACTTTCTAGTTCCTGAAAACCACCACAAATAATACAGACACTAACGGAGGTGGCAAAAGTACAGACAATCTGTAGTCCAGTAGTAAAAATACTCAAGTAAAAGCTGAAGTACAGATTCAACTTCTTTGCTCAAGTAAAAAATAAGTTTTTTTAAAAGGTAGAAAAAGAGGGCCAGGAGTTCAAAAATGAATGAATAAAATATGATAATAATTAACAGAAACTGGAATTAATGAATAAATAGATAAACAATTAAATGTCTATTTATTTTATTGAAAACATGCAATAAAGTATTTATTTCCAGTTTTAATAAATTACATCAACATTTAATTATTTTTTCTTCTCATTTTTTCCACAAGTGGACCTTTTGCTATACTGGTCCACTTGATTGTCATAGTTTATTCAAGCTTTATTATTTATTCTTATTTTAAGTTATTACAATCAGAACGGACGGACTCGGGGACAGGAAAGAGAAATAAGAAGAAAAGAGAAGTTGGGAGTAAAGTAAACAGAAGAAGAGAGAAAGAACAAGAGGGGAGGAGAGGGTTAGTGAGAAAATCACTAAAAATCCTCTTCGCCAACTGCTGAAAAACAAACTAGAAAAATGAAAAGAGCACAGTAGGAAAACTACAGCAACAAACAACATAAGCACAGGTAACAGTAAACCCATCTACCCAGTCTACCCATCACTGGGCAGAGTCACCACACCCCCTCGTTTGTGGCACCTGCAATCAGCTGGCCGACTCTTAAGACCAGCGTTCTTGAACGTTGCTCGCCGGAGTGTCAGCTAACCCACGTTAATGAGAGTCGTAGCTCAGTAAATCCTCTTTCAGTGTTTTCTCTTTCTTTCTTTTCAAGCTGATCCTGTCTAGTCTCCACTGCAGCTTCTCTGCGGGTTGGATCTTGTTGTCAGTAACCACTCAATTTCATATTGCTGGTTTGTTTTCTGTTCTTGGCGCTATACGCCTGCCTGCCTCCCTGCCCAACACTTCACAGTGAGTGTACGCGAACTGGCTAAGCCTCACCCGGACCTCTACTCCCCTCCAAGACTCGCCTTCCTATGGGGATAGTTACAAAGCTTTCTTCGTTATGAATGAGCATTTTAGTTAGCATCTCCAAAAGTTGATTCTGTTCATCTGGACGTAGCGTTTTGTGGGACAAACGTTTCATCACTCATCCAAGTGACTTCTTCAGTCTCAGCTGACTGCAGGTTTCCCCGATCTTATAAACAGTACATTTGCATGATGACTGAAACCAGCCCCCTGAATGAACAATGGGCTGGGAGGTCAGTTTCTTAATCATAACGATGCAAATTCTCATGACCATTGATCAACAGCCACTGACTAAAACCCACTGATCAATGGCCAGAGAGTTGGGGAATGGCTGCAATCACAGCATTGTCAGATGGCGAGAGATGTACCCTTAGGCCCCCTCCTTGATTCAGTGATGGTCTTTTCCTTTTCACGTAAATGGCCTCTTTGACTCCGCGCTCAAACTAGCGTTCCTCCCTGTCCAGGATGTGTACATCCTCATCATTGAAAGAGTGTCCACTGGCCTGTAGGTGTAAACCAGGCCTGCCCAATCCCAGTCCTCGAGAGCTACTATCCTGCAGCTTTTAGATGCATCCCTACTCCAACACAGCTGAATCAAATGGTTTGATCTCTTCAGCATGCCATCATGTTTGGCAAAGGCCTGATAACAAGCC